AGGTACATCCTCTGACTCAGCAATTCTATTTCTAGAAATGTATTCTAAGTAAATAAACAGAAATGCACATATAATTAGGTTAAAAGTGGTGCTACTTACACTACCATAAAACAGGAGACAACTAGTTTAGCACACCCATATGAAGTTACTATCTTACAGTTATTAAAAACACATGCTAGGGGCACCTGGGTGGGTTCAGTTGGTTAAGTGTCCAACTTCAGCTCTGGTCATGATCTCACAGTTTGTGAATTCCAGCCCTGCGTCAGGCTCTGTGCTGACAGCTCAGAGCCTGAAGCCTGCTTGCGATCTGTGTCTTCCTCTATCTACTCTTCCCCCCACTCATGCTGTATCTCTCTCAAAAATAAATAAACATTAAAATAACTTTTTAAAAAAAGAACATGCTAGGGGCGCCTAGGTGGTTCAGTCAGTTAAGCATCCAACTCTTGATCTTGGCTCAGGTCGTGATCTCACAGTTGGTGGGTTCAAGTACCACTATGGGCTCTGTGCCAACAGTGTGGAGTCAGGTGGGACTCTCTCTCTCTCTCAAAACAAATTAAAAAAAAAAAATACAGAAAACTATAGTTTTCAGGAACTATAGAAAGCTTATGAAAGAAATCAAAGACACAAAAAAATGGAAAAATATTCCACGCTCCTGGATAGGAAGAACAAATGTTGTTAAAATGTCAATACTACCCAAAGCAACCAACATATTCAATGCAATACCTATCAAAATACCAGCATTCTTCACAGAGCTAGAACAAACAATCCTAAAATTTTATGGAACCAGAAAAGACCCCAAACAATCTTGAAAAAGAAAACCAAAGCAGGAGGCATCACAATCCTGGACTTCAAGCTGTAATACAAAGCTGTAATCATCAAGATTGTGCCAAGTATGGTACTGGCACAAAAACAAACACTCAGATCAACGGAACAGAATAGAGTAACCAGAAATGGACCCACAAACGTATGGCCAACTAATCTTTGACAAAGCGGGAAAGAATATCCAATGGAATAAAGACAGTCTCTTCAGCAAGTGGTGTTGGAAAACTGGACAGCGACATGCAGAAGAATGAACCTGGACCACTCTCTTAAACCATACACAAAAATAAACTCAAAATGGGTGAAAGACCTAAATGTAAGACAGGAAGCCATCAAAATCCTCGAGGAGAAAACAGGCAAAAACCTCTTTGATCTTGGCCGCAGCAATTTCTTACTCAGCACATCTCCGGAGGCAAGGGAAACAAAAGCAAAACTGAACTATTGGGACCTCATCAAAATAAAAAGCTTCTGCACAGCAAAGCAAACAATAAGCAAAACTATAAGGCAACCGATGGAATGGGAGAAAATATTTGCAAATGACATATCAGATAAAGGGTCAGTATCCAAAAGCTATAAAGAACTCATCACACTCAACACCCAAAAAACAAATAATCTAGTGAAGAAATGGGCAAAAGACACGAATAGACATTTCTCCAAAGTAGACATCCAGATGGCCAACTGACACATGAAAAAATACTCAACATCACTCATCATCAGGGAAATACAAATCAAAACCACAATGAGATACCACCTCACACCTGTCAGAATGGCTTACATTAACCATTCAGGCAACAACAGATGTTGGCGAGGATGTGGAGACAGAGGATCTCTTTTGCATTGTTGGTGGGAATACAAACTGGTGCAGCCACTCTGGAAAACAGTATGGAGGTTCCTCAAAAAATTAAAAATAGAACTACCCTATGACCCAGCAATTGCACTACTAGGTATTTACCCAAGGGATACAGGTATACTGTTTCCAAGGGGCACACGCCCCTCAATGTTTATAGCAGCCCTATCAACAATAGACAAAGTATGGAAAGAGCCCAAATGTCCACTGATGGATGAATGGATAAAGAAGATGTGGTGTGTGTGTATGTGTGTGTATATATATATATACACACACACACATACAATGGAGTATTTCTTGGCAATCAAAAAGAATGAAATACTGCCATTTGCAACTACGTGGATGGAACTAGAGGGTATTTATGCTAAGCGAAATTAGTCAGAGAAAGACAAATATCATATGACTTCACTCATATGAGGACTTGAAGACACATAACAGATAAACGCAAGTAAAGGGAAGCAAAAATAATATAAAAACAGGGAGGGGGACAAAACATAAGAGACTCTTAAATATGGAGAACAGAGGGTTACTGGAAGGGTTGTTGGAGGGGGGATGGGCTAAATGGGTAAGGGGCATTAAGGAATCTACCCCTGAAGTCATTGTTGCACTATATGCTAACTTAGATGTAAACTATAAATAAATACATACATAAATAAATAAAACCACATGCTTTATATATAGTAGCCAAAAATATAAATAACCCAAATATCTATCAGCTGATCAATGGATAAAAAATGCGTTATCACCCATACAATGACATATTATACACCAATAAAAAGCAATGAAATACTGACTCATGTTATAATATGGATGAACCTCAAAAACATATTGCTCAGTGAAAGAAGTCAGACACTGAAGGCCACATCTGCATAACACAATTTATATGCAATGTCCAGAACAGGCAAGGTAGACTGTATCTGCCTAGAGCTGGAGGGTCTGGGAGATTGAGGGGATGAAAGTTAAGAGGTGAAGGGTCTCTTTTTGGGGGTGATAAAAGTATTATGGAATTAGAAAGAGATGATTACACAAATCTGTAAACACTACAAACCACAGAACTGTACACTTTATGTGGTGAATTTTATGGTACATGAATTGTATCTCAATTTTGAAAAAATCATTTTATAGATCAAAGGTTAACAAACTTTTTCTACAAAGGACCAAAGGGCAAATATTGTAGGCTTTTGGAACCATGCAGTCTCTGTTATACTCTTGTTTTTTCTTTAAAAACCCTAAAAAATTTAAAAACTATTCTTAGTTCATTGGCTATACAAAAACAGGCTAATGGTCAGATTTGATCCACAGGTCATAGTTTGCTGACCTCTTCATATATATAAATATTAAGTTTCAAAACGTTTTCACATAAAATTATAAAGAATACAAGCCACAAAAAATATAAAGGATGACATATATTTATAAAATATACAAACATACTATGCAAAAAGAGAGTTATCGTAGCAGGCCTAATACCTAGAAAAGGAGAACCTGCAAAGTTCTCCCTTGGCTTGGCATAGGGAACTTGGATTTTGGGAAGGTTCCTACCATTCCTTGACAGGAGTGGCTCACTGTGCCTAAACTACTGGTGCAAAACTATGGTTTATGCTGAACACCTGCTTTCCTTCTGGTACATGGAGAAGGTGCCTACATGACCATCCCCAAATAAACACACCATACACAGAGTGTCCAATCCGCTTCTCTGGTAGACAGCCTTTCACACACATTGTCACAATTCAATTGCTAGGAGAATTAAGTGTGTCCTACGTGACTACACTGGGAAAGGAAGCTTGTCCCTGGCTTGTTCTGGACCTCACCCTATGTGCCTTTTTCCTCTGCTGTTTTTTGTATTGTATCTTTTCAATGTAATACACCATAGCCATGAGCACAACTAAATGGTGCGAGTCCTCCAAGCAAATCAGTGAACCTGAGAGTGGTCTTGCAGAGACCAAGCTGTTATCAATGACCACCTATAAGTAGTGGGATTATGAATTTAGTGAGTATTTTAATTCCTGTCTAGATTCTGAACCCACTTCTTGGAGAGTCAAATTTGGAGAATAAAGAAGCCAAAAGAGTCAATTACTTTTATTTCTCTGATCTTTAGTGGTGCTCAACTGACTGGCAACTCCAGTCTGTACCCTATATTTTAGAATTCAATGTGATAACAGAGCCAGAATTCCACAACTATGTAATATAATCTCAGTTAACAACTGGCCAACAAGCCACCCTTGGCTCGAGACTATTTTGAGCTGGGTCCTATAAGGGTCCCAATTAAACCTCTGTGTTACCAAATACTTCTTCAGTAAGTTGATTTTTTGCTTGAGTTAGAGTTGACTACTACAGTTTACAACCAAGAAACTTGACATGATTTTTGCTTTTTTTTTGTTTTGACATGTTTTCTAAATTTTCCTTACTGAGCATAAATTTATTACTTTCATAATAAAATTCTAAGGTTAAAAAAATGACTAGACAGTGTATGATATTAGAGGATATGAATGGTAAGTTTAAAACTCTAAGCTCTGAAATAATTTTAGGTATTCACCTCAGATTCAGTTCCTAAGCTTTTATGACTAAGTCCTCTCCTTTCCTTCTAACTATAAAACAGTTTCTCTGACAGGGAGAGGACACTAAAAAAAAAAGCCTCATTTCCTCTTCCACCTCTTCCACCATTCTTTGCAAAAGCATAGTGCCCACAGTATTTGCTAATCACCGTGTGATTTAAATGGCCTGTCATATATACCACCTTACCCCCGAATTATTTTTGTATTCTTCTTCAATCACCTGTTTCTCTGATGGTTCCTCGTGATTTAAAATATTTAAATATTAAATTTAAATATTAAATTTAAATATTAAATATAAAATGATTTAAAATAGAAGAAATATTTAATAAATAATTCCTTCACATTTTCATGATCAAGTCAATTTTATTCTCTCTCCCTATAATTTTCTCTAGCAAAATCTAAATGAATGAACCTGTTGGAGGGCCACAAATATACCATTTCTCCCTTGCTCACTATGCCATGATGGCATAGTTTCCTAAGAAACTGGAGTTTCCTCCAGTAAACTGACTGAACTCTCCTGCATCAAGGCCCTTTACACAAGCTCTTCATTCTACCAGGAATGGTCATTCTCTCTCTGTGCCAGCTAAATCCTCCCTAAGATGCTTCCTTTGAGAACACTTTCCTGATGGCATCCCAATCCGAACTAGCTCATTTCACTATTCTTACATCTTGTCCCTTTCCTTCACTGCTTGTAGTTGTACATTTATGTGATTATTTTGTCTATTTCCTCCAATCAGACTACAAATGCCAAGAAACCAAAAACTGTTTTATCTACTATATCTTCCTAATTCAGCAGAGTGTTTGACACATGTAAGTATCAATTACAAAAGATACTTATTTTATCTTCTCTCTTGAGTGATTTTAAATTAAAAGTATTATCATTTCTACCTCTATGCAAGAGTACTAACAATGTATGTATGCGCCTGTGCGGATGTGACAATCTCCCCCGCAACAACATGCCCCTCACGAAGAATCTCCTCAATCCCTCCCTACGAGAGGAAAAGAGGAAGCACAAGAAGAAGCGCCTGGTGCAAAGCTCCAATTCCTACTTCATGGACAAGAAGCACCCACAATGCTATAAAATCACCACTATCTGTAGCCACGCACAAACAGTTTTGTGTGTTGGCCGCTCCACTGTCCTTTGCCAGCCTACAGGAGGAAAAGCAAGGCTTAGATAAGCATGTTCCTTCAGACTGAAGCAGCACTAAAACCACGCTAAATCATCATGAGGGGAAAACCATCCCAATAAACACATTTTGGATACAAAAAAAAAAGTATGTATGTGTGTATATAGATTTTTTAACTAACCATATACTTTAACTAAATAAAACAGTTTCTAAATCAGCACTGTTTATATTCTCCAAATATTTTACTCTCAGTGATTAAATTTTCCAAGTCTCACATTTTCTTATATAAAATTTTCTTAAATTTCAGTGGCTCTTCTAGAAAAGCAGTTGGGTAACCTAGAGGTCACTTTGTAGCTCTTAGGTCTCAACTTGTACATCTGGAAAATGTGGTCAGGGAAAATGTAAACACTTGTTAATTCTCAGTGACGAATAGGTGAAAGTTTGTTATAAATGATTTTCTCTGTGCTTTTCAATATATAAAATGTTTACCAAAAAGTAGGCCAAGAATCACTTCTATAAGGAATAATCAATAAATGGTATTATACACATTTTATGTAATATTTTAAAGCCTCTTTTAAGAAATTTTTTTAAGTTTATTTATTTATTTTGAGAGAGAGCAAGCAAGCAGGGGAGGGGCAGAGAAAGAGACAGAGAATCCCAAGCAGGCTCTGCACTGTCAGCATAGGGCCTGACACAGGGCTCGAACTCACAAACTATGAGATCATGACCTGAGCTGAAATCAAGAATTGGACGCTTAACCAATTGAGCCACTCAGGTGCCCCAAGCCTCTTTTATTTCTTCAGTTACAGAGAAAAAAAGCAGATGGGCAGATTGTTAGATGTAGATCTGTTTCTGGTACTATACTCATTCCAAAAGGCTATGGTATTACAAAGCACAGTAAAATCAGTATTAATATGAACAGTAAATTCCTTAATTCAAATGATATATTGAAACTCCCACCTTATAGGATCTTCACAGGCACCAAATGGTAACTTGCCAAACTCCAGGCCTCCAACTTCTCCTCCTACAAGGGCATCTATATCTAAGCAAAAGAAATAATATTCCATTATTCAGCAAGAAATGAAGAAGTAAGTATTTAATTAAGTTAGCTCTTTGGGAGATCATAGATTTAAATGTGCCTATATCAATAGCATATATGTAGAGAGCAGCCTAGTTAAAGACTTCCCCCTAGAATGTTACAATAAAAGAACACCTTGGGGCACCTGGGTGGCTCAGTCGGTTGGGCGTCCGACTTCAGCTCAGGTCATGATCTCGCGGTCTGTGAGTTCAAGCCCTGCATCAGGCTCTGGGCTGACAGCTCAGAGCCTGGAGCCCGTTTCGGATTTTGTGTCTCCCTCTCTCTCTGACCCTCCCCTGCTCATGCTCTGTCTCTCTCTGTCTCAAAAATAAATAAATGTTAAAAAAAAAAAAATTAAAAAAAAAGAACACCTTTAATTCCTATTTATACAGTGTTTAATTCAAGCCATGCATTCTACATTTTACCCTTTTGAAATATTCCTTAAATATTGCTTGAGAGAACATTAATCTGTAATTTTTTTTGCATTTTCTAAAAATGCGATTAATATTATCTATATAAAAGATTATCCAAGTATTTAAAATTTTAATTAACAACCTACATTCATCAGTTTTGCTGTCAATTTCTGTAGAGCAAATTAGTTATCATTAATAAATTTTTATTTCAGTTGATAGTACATGGAAATACTTGAAGTTTAGCAAAGAATTTCCATTCTGTTATGAACAGTATCTGAGATGAGAGGAGAATTTAGAGGGTAAATCACTCCCCTTAGCTCCACCCCTCTTAAAGAGGTAATAAACACTTCTAAAAGATATCAAAAGGATTTATTTCTCTTTGAAATAATTCAGATGGCTGCTTTTCATTATTCGTACTACACTGGAAATTCCTCAAGTTAAATTCTATTGTTATGAATATTCCCCAGTTTTGCTAAAATCATGTTTGACGATTACCTGTCACCTAACTAAATTAATCATTAAATATGGCTCAATTACTTGATTCAGTAAATTTTCTCAAGTCAGTTTCATTCCATTTTTCCAACTAACAAATACTTATAATAAAGATTACAATGACTAGCTTTATTACAAGATGTGAATTTTTAAGAGCTTCACAATGTATAATAAGCATATTTTATAAATAAGCTAAAAATTTTGTACCATAACTGTACAATAGTCTTAATTCAATTAAACTCAGAAGCAACACTATGGAATGAAAGGATCATGGGATGTGGAGTTTGACCAATGTTTGAAAGCAAACTTTATCACTTGTGACCTTGGGCCAGTTACCTATGTTCTCTAAGTTACATATGTTCTCCAAGAAAGATAATACCTGTCTCATAGATAAACGATAATTACATGAAATAACATATAAAATGTCAAGCACAATGTCTGGTCCATATTACATGTTCAAATCCTTTCCTTCCCTTTATATGAGAAAATGTTAAAAATTTATATGGCCTTCAATTCACTGAGGAGTAAGATAAATATATTGGTCCTCCCCATTAAAAAAAACTGGCAAGAGAGGTGCCTGGGTGGCTCAGTGGGTTAAGTGTCTGACTTCATCTCAGGTCATGATCTCACGGCTTGAAGGCTCACGAGTTTGAGCCCTGCGTCAGGCTCAGTTTTGACAGCTCAGAGCCTAGAGTTTGCTTCGGATTCTGTGTCTCCCTCTCTCTGCCCTTCCCCTGCTCACTCTCTGTCTCTCTCTCTCAAATAAATAAACATTAAAAAAAATTTTTTTTTTAAACTGGCAAGTAAACATTAACAAAGTCCTTTTTGGCAACCAAAATTATAATGCTAACATTCTGGATCTTGGGCTTCCTCTTAGATCATCAACAGACTATACTATCTTGGGAAATATTTAAAATTGACTAATAATAGAGCAGACTTTGAAAAAAGGAAAAGGCAGGCAGGAATTGAAACTTTCACCTAGAAAGTGGCTACAAATCGCCTAGAGGGTAATGCTGTCTGGGAACGAAAATTACCAAAACAAACATTTGCGTCTTTCTTATAATTTACTCTCAGCTTAGCTTTTATTTCCCTTTGCTGCAGTTTAGATGCAGTTCTTTCATTGTCACATCAGAGTTTCAAATTATTGTGCAGTATATAAATAAGGTACTAGCAGCATATATAACTACCAAAGTCTGAGGATATACTACATTAATTCTAACATCCCAAGATACCAACTTTCCATCCTATAAATAACCAACTACTTGGAACAAAAATAAACAGTAAAGAAATACTGTTTTATTCTAATTTATTTTTCTCAGCAGGGGGGAGTAGACTAGAAAATGTTTTCAGGCTGGTAAAATACTTATAATTATTTATAAGTTTGTGTTAAATTTCTTATGAGAAATACTTGAATATAATTATACTTATATATGAGAGAAACACCCAGGAGCCAAATCCTCACTTAATTATTAAGGCTATATGTCCACCAGGGTGAACTTTTCTAGAACTTAGGTAATGTCTTGTTTATACCTGCAACCCAGACACAACCTGCTAATAATTAATGATTACTAAATGAGTCAGTCTATTGGTATATACCATTTATGAATAAGAGGTAAACTGATTTTAATTACATCAAATGCAAGTTAAATATTCTAGAGCTCTTTGTAAGTATATGTGTATATACCCATTTTTTTTCTCTTTCCTGCTTTTCTTATTTAGCACTCTTCTTCAAACTCTATTTTCCATAAGGCTCTCAGCTTATGAGGGTGGCTTCCATTATTATATTCTAAAAACAGACAGTTTAATCATTCACTACATACTAATTTGCAGCACATGATGTTCCACAGCAGGGGGGATGCTTTATAAATAATATTAGCTTTCAAAGATAGATCGTCACATATAGAGTAATGCTGTCTCTAGAGCAAACTTCAAAGCTTTTTTTAAGAGAAACAAAATTATAAAGGTAACTAAATCAGCAATACTACATTTAGAATGAATTACAAATATTTCCAATTTAAAACACTTGAAACACACTGTTAAATAAGTTTAATTTCTGAATATATTTTCTTTCCATTTATATTCAGTAAATTAAATATAGCTCTAAATTATCTCACCTGGAGGTTGCTGAGGCCAAAAATACTGCTGCCAATCCTGAAGTACATAGGTAAGGCGAATAGCAATACTAACCGGAGGCAAAGGAGTTAAAGGACATCCCTAGAAAATAAATGCAAAGACAATATTGTGTAGCTTTAAACAAAGTGTTTTAAAAACAATGCCAGAGAGTTGTTTAGGGTGCTTGGGTGGCTCAGTCAGTAGAGTCCAGCTCAGGTCAGGCTCAGGTCATGAACTCACAGTTCCTGAGATCTAACCCTAGCTGGGCCTGCTTGGGATTCTCTCTCCCCTTCTCTCTCTGCCCCTTTCCTGCTTGTGTGCAGATCTCTCTCAAAAGTAAATGAATTTAAATAAATAAATAACTACCTGGAAACAAAATAAATGCTCCTTCAAAATATTAACAATTTTAATTATACAAATATAATTTCTTATTCTGTTCAGCAATAATGAATGTGAGAAAAATGTTACCCATTTTTTAAAAATTAAGGTGAAAACTATTACAAGTATAAGACCAGGATTGAGGAGATGATGCCTTCTCTTTCTTTTAAATGAAAATAAACCCAAATTAAAGCCAGTCTTGGAATATTTAACCATAATTTTAGACTAAGACAAATGGTCACTCATGCAAAATAGATTGTATTAATCAGTTAATAGAAAATTTAGATTCATCTTTACATTCACTAAAAATCATGAAAATTAGGGGGGCCTGGGTGGCTCAGCTGGTTAAGCATCTGACTTTGGCTCAGGTCATGATCTCACAGCTCATGGGTTTGAGCCTTGCACCGGGCTCTGTGCTGACAGCTTAGAGCCTCGAACCTGCTTTGAACTTTATGTCCCATCTCTCTCTATTCCCCGGCTCATACTGTCTCTCTCAAAAACAAATAAACATTAAAAAAAAATTTTTTTAATCATGAAAATTAATATCATCCAAACATCCTATAAGCTCTCCTTCCCTTAATAATGGTTAACCTACATTAATGTGGAATAGGACTCAAATATACATAGGAATCACCTAGGGAACATGTGAAAATATAGATTCAAGGCTATTCTGCATATTTAACCAGGTACCAGGTGTTCCTGATACTGCTGATCAGGAAGAATAAGAGACATTTAGCTCAGCAACATCTATAAATGTCACTAGTAGCTTTAACGGAATACAAACTCAATCTAAAGTCACAATGTAAAGTGGCTGCCCAAAAAAGATAATTTAGTTTTGGGCTGCTGTGTCCTTGCCAAGCAAGGTAAGATTCTGGTTGTTTAGGAATAATAAACTTTTTAGTCAAGTCCAGATATTAACTGAGTGTTCACCCGTAATAAGGTACAAATGGTCTAGAAACCATAACAAAGTTGCCTTGACACATAACCTCTGCTCCAGTTACATAGCAACATAGATAAATATAGAAAGCGATAACCAGAAAGAAATAGCTAGGATCAAATATGACATAAATATCTTTGTGGGTCCTAGAAAGCTGCAGAAAATCCAAAGT